TTCCCTACTATGGTGAGCTCAAGGCTTCGAAGACTCTTCCACTAAGTGAAAGCCTTCCTCGGGTAAAAGCAGCTACCTCTGTTGGAGATAGACTCTTACTCAGTGGAAAGGAGTCTTTGGGGTCAGTCAAGCATCCTCCAACCTCTCTGTCCCTTTCGGGGCATCTGGCCAATCACTGCAGGAAACAAGAAGTAAATAGATGATTGGTCCGATATAGCAGGGTTCTTCTTCTGTTTCTATCCAGTCATCTGAAAGGGGGATGCCTGATTTAACAAGAAATAGCAGTACAGGTACCTCTTGATTCAGGTGGTGGATAACTCATGCATTCAAGGTGAGCTAAGACACCTCTCCAAGATTGCGACAATTTGCTTCAGCTCCACTTGCAGGCGCTTTTAGTCAGTTGTGATTTTCACAGATCAGTTCACTCTGTTTTCTGCCATCCCTTGTGATTGAGGTCACTAAGGAGCAGAATCCAATTTATTTTTTATTTATTCATTTGAATAACTGTTTCAGTTTAAGTTAAGCTGTATTTAAGGCTCAGTTTAAGTTAAGCCGTATTTAAGTTAAGCTGTGCACTTTTCCATAACGTGGAAATTTTGCACAGATCCTAAAGCAGCTGTTTTTTTTTCTATGTTGTAGAACTGCCTCCTGTTGAGAATGCATTAAGCTTTTACCATAGACTAAAAAAGGGGTGGCCAAACTTGCTTAACGTAACAGCCACACAGAATAAACGTCAGATGTTTGAGAGCTGCAAGACATGAACAAATATTACACACACGTTTTTATTGAAAAATATGCACATTTTCTTTTTATTCACATTAAATTAGACTGTGTGAAAGAGCCGCATGTGCTCCCAAGCGGCAGTTTGGCCACACCTGGACTAAACTCTGTTCAGGCCAGGTTCTTGTGTTTGGGCATGGACAGAATGTGGTTGTACTCGTGGCAAAGTCCCGGGGCAGGATAAGTTACACCTAGCCATCCATATCAGCTCACTCGTGCCTTTTTTTGCTGCCCGAATCGGTGAACTTTGGTGTATATTGAGGGCTAAAGTTATCCCAGTGTTAGGCCTGTAGTCTTGAGCTGGGAAGATCATTGGTGATTGACATTCTGATTTTCCCTCTAGGTTTTGGTTTCCTTGTGTCGACTCATATTCCGAACTTTGCACCTGGAAACTAGAGTATACAGTCGATGCCACAATGGTGGCTGTCTCAAATGGAGATCTGGTAGAAACAGTGTACACTCATGACATGAGAAAAAAGACCTTCCACTATATGCTGATGATTCCGACTGCAGCCTCTAATATTTCTTTGGCTATAGGACCATTTGAAATTCTTGTGGACCCATACATGCACGAGGTACTGCTTTTCACC